ATGTGACATTTGCTCCAGGATAAACATTTAATCATGAATGCTTATATATTTCAGCCCACATAGTCCTTATATTACAGTGGACTAATACACTTAGAGCCTTTGTTGCCACATGAATTTTATACAACACTTTTACATTTTTGCATCTCCAGACATTTTTTACGGTCCAATATGGCTTTTTGAGCAATTTCGGTTGCCAACGCCTGCTGTGGACGATCATTTTAGAGTCTCTTCTATTGGAGTAAAAACAAATATAATGAAAAATGGCCAAAAATCGCACTTTGACCTAAAATGGTCGACTTCCTGTGGGTTTTAGGGCATACCTCCAAGAGACTTTTTTTTTTTCGTGCTTTGAGGAGATCTACCTGTGTACCAAATTTCAAATCTCTGTGACTTACAGTTTCCCTCAACTCACGTTAGGGGGCGCTGTGGCGTAATTTGGGGGCGGCCATTTTGGATTCCATTATAGACCGGCTATTTCACGCGGGGGACAATTTACTGCCACGTTTTTGTGAGTTTTTGAATATGGGAAGTCCCCGTAAAATGCGTTCGAAGTGCAAAAAGAATAATAATAAGAAGAAACTTTCGAAAAAACAGACCTGTAGGCCTTGTAGACCAACGTCTTGAGGGACACCTCCTTCTGGAAGGTGTGGTCATCCTCGAGTCCCTGCAGGGTGGAGAGCTCAGCCAGACTCTGCCGGATAAACAGCAGGAAGACATCAGATTATCAAAGCGAGGGACACCCACAGCTGAAGGACAGTTCCCGACACCCACCTGCAGGATGATGTCGTAGAGCCGGATCAGATCTTGTGGACGGGGGCCCCTCTTGTTCTCGTCAGCCCCGGTCTCCTTCAGTTTAGCCTGCAGGGTGTGAGCCATGCTCTCGTTTCTCTTCACCAACGTGCACAGCTTGATGTAGGTCAGATAACTGGGAAGGAAGAGCGACAGGAATCAGAGAATGGAAACATTTCCAGACCAAACCAACAGATCTCACTGATCAACAAACGTTTTCATGAACATGAACCACAGCATCAGGAAATCTGTGGACAGTCTATGAGCGAAGCACTAGCTGACAGCCTAGTCCTATTCTTACCTGTGCAGGAACTGAAGGTTGCTTATTTTCCCGCTTTCATTATCAGAGCTCCTCTCACGTTGTTTCTGCAAACATAGAAACATTTTTTATTACTTTTTAACCCACATTTCTTTATTTTTATTGTTTAGACTAATTCACAATGTTGCATCCTCTGGAAGGTCACTAAAATAAGCTTCAGTAGCAGGTTGCAGCCATGAGATGTCGAATTGTTTTTAGTAATGATCAATTGATTTTAAACCAGAAAATGTTATTTTTAAGAACATCCACTTAAGACAAGAAATCCTGCAAAGTGAAACTCTTAATGTCAGAATATTTGGCAGCTTGGTCTCACCGCCTCGCTCTTCAGCTCCTCTCTCACAGCCTGGATGGTGTCTCTGCACTCGGCCAGCAGGGTCTCATACAGATGTTCTTTGGTCTCCTCATTGACGGCCTGGACAGAAAAAACATTTATATATAAATAAATAAAAAACGCTTATTGATGACCGACTCTGAAGCAGAATGTACTAAAACCAACATGGACCCAGAAACCTGATAATTCAAGCTGAACGCTCCAAAAACAGATCTAAAAAAAAGAATATTTCTAATGGGAAATGTATTTGCCTCACAGCAGCAGCCAAAATCAAACGGCAGCTGAATGGCAGCCAACTTCCAACCCCTTGATTGACTTACCTCCACGCCAACAATTCCCTTTTACGACCCCCCTTTCAGAGACATAGACAGGTATGGGGCATTGCAGGCTAACAAAGAAGCCAAATGACCCCCATTCCAAAGGGGTGGACCCGTTCATCCATTTCTATTTCCATGTTTTCTAAACAAAAACAAGGCTTTGTTTTTGGTCCACTCTATAAAGCCTCAAACTCAACTTTATTTCTGACATTTTGAATTAAATAAGCTTCCTGGATGGGAAGCAAAATGTCTACAAACTTCGAAGCAAAGTCCAGTGGATTCAGGTAAATAAAAATATTCGCATACGACATAAAAACCTGCAGCAACAGATGCTGGTTATGTGGAAATATGTTTAAATTAGGTTTTTAAACAAAATAGGAGTCCATATGAAACAAAATTGATATGATTTATATTTAAGTTGTAGGTGTGGTTTTATTTACTGGTTGAAAATAGTTAGAATTTATATTAATGTCTGTAAAAAGTCACATTATTTCATTGATGCAGAACTCTGGTAAGGCTGCTAATTCAAAATGTCTGAACTTTTATGATCCTTTTTTAAAGAATCGACAAGAATCAGAATTGAAATGAAGAACTTTATAAGATTTAAACCCAAACTGGCTCTGAACGTTAAAGTATATCTATGATACAACATAGATCTTTTCGATATAAACAACCTCTGTGGAAAACAGGATTTTTTTTTCCCCCTAATAATTCTCTAGACACATTTTTTTTTCTAGGTGAAAGAACCTGTAGTTTTACAATCTAAATATTTCAACAGAGAGGAGTAAAAGCCCGACTTTGACAGGTGTGTAACTTTAGGTATGTTGCAGGGCGGGCTCTCCGTGCATTCCTGCACATCGCTGCTGCGGAGTTTCAGGCTTCAATCTCAACGTTAGGATTGTTCTCCTGTTCAGCCGCTTCTCACTGACAGTCAGAAAAAGGCTTAGATGTAGAGCGGAAATGTTTAACGCTTGAATAGTTACTGTAGAAAGAAGAAACTAATCAGAGCATAAAAAACAAACAAACCTCAAACTGCTTTTTTCTTAAACCAGAAGGTGAATTCAAGCAGAGTAGAAACCAGGTGTATAAATGAATTCATTGCAGTCATCCTCCAGGTTTTGGGCCTTATTGTCCTCTTTTAAGAGTCATATAATCCCTGTGATCCTGGTGGCAATAAGGCAACATTCACACAGCAGCCTGAAGTGACCCAAATCAGATTTTTTTTGCCCATATGTGACCTGGATCTGATCTTTTCATGGCACTGAACGACACAGACTTGGTTTTTCCCCCAATGTGACCCAGGCCATTTAGCTCTGGGGTCCTGAATCCGATGCGTATCTGATCAATTTGAATGCATTCATCCAACCTGTACGCCATTAATACCCGACAAGTCACTATTCTGCGTCTTGCTATGCAGAAGTGGGAAGAAAAAAAAAACAACCATGGCAAAGCAAAAAAAAAAAAAAAAAAAAACCTGATTTCACAAAAAAAGAATCGGAATTGAGCATCAACGTCTGCAGTGTGACCGTAGCCTAAAGGCCTGGTTATCCTCCCGCAGCAGTGCGTCACAGTTAGCTTGTCGGAGGTATGAAGCAGATAATTTTGATTTATGCCCAATTTTTAAGCGTGGTCTGTGCTATTTTATTCCACGCCACAACGCAACACAAGAGGGACAATCAGAAGGTATCTGTGGGTCTAGATGCGGCCGAGGCAGTGAGGAAGTGAAGGCAAGTTTGAGTGACATGACAGCCAAAACAAGTGGGAACCCAGGCGGAAAAAGTGTCCCAGCGTTCCCGCCCACCTCCATCTTCTAGCTGGTCCATCTTCGCAAGTCGTTTTTTTATAATCGTGGTCATACAAACAGAACAAGCCGGTAAGGTACCAAACAGGAAATACTAGGGGTGGAACGGTTCACGGTTTCAGGTCACGGTTTTCGGTTCGGTATATGTTGATTGTTAGCCTGACACGTTGGTTG